AAAGTGCGGGATTTAGATTCAGAAGGCTTGGGTTCAAATTCAGACTCCCCTACCCACCTGTGTAACTCTGGGAAAGGCATTTCCCTTTTTTATCCTAGACAGGTCCTCTAGGTCCCTAACTTGGGTCTTGACATGAGGTTGCATCAACATGACCTTTAGGGGCCCTGCTAGCTCTGGGCCTATGATCCTATGACCTCAACGATGGCAGGAAGTTGCCTTTCATTTCTTCCAAGTAGCAACACTCATAGGTTTCCCATTGGGGGTCCCATTTGCCGAGCTCTGCCTCAGAGCCTTCCAAGATTGGCTTTTGGGGGAGGTGGCCCTAGACTGGGCCTTGGTCCTCCTCCGTGAGCACAGCAAACATTTACTAAGTGCTTCTTACGTGCCAGGCGCTGAGGTGAGTGTGGTCCCATAGGGGATGCAGAAGGATGCCCATGAGCCCTGCACTCAAGGACCACTACACAATCCCCCACCGAGCTGCCTAATTCGTCCTCCCACAGCGAGGATCTGACCACATCCCTGCTCTGTTCCCAAAGCTTCACAGGCTCCTTCTATTGTCTCTAGGCTACATCAATACAAAATCCTCTGGTTGGCATTTAGAGCCTCAGTTTGGCTCTTAACTGGGGCCATATTCCTTCTCATCAGGTACTTTATGTTCTGCAGACAAGCTGGTCTACTTGTTCTTAATATGATATTTCAGTTCCCACCACCATGCTTTTGCAAAGGCAGACCTCCCCCCCCCCCCCCCCCCCCCCCCCATGGTTGGAATGTCCTCCCTTCTCCCCTCCCAGAATCACAGCTCACATTTATGTAGCCCTTCAAGGTTTAAATAGTGTTCCTGGTTCAGATGAAGGAACTGAGGACCAGAGACGTTCAATGACTCATCTGAGGCCACAGAGATCACAGCTAGCAGAGCTGGGATCCAAAGCAGGTTGTCTGATTCCAAAGTCAGTACTCTGACCGGCACAGTGGCCAGAGTACTGGTCAGGAAGACCCGGGTTCAGCCTGGCCTCAGACTGTGCCTAGGTGTGCGACCCTGGGCAAGTCATTTCACCTCTGTCTGCCTGGAAAGAGTATTTATTGGTCTTAAAGTCGGAGGCCATGGGTTTGCAGCCTGGTTCAAACAGTTCCTAGCTGTGTGGCCTTGCGGGGAGCCACAACCTCTCAGAACCCCAAGGTTCTTCACCTATTAGATAAGGATGATCAACGCCCTGCTTCCCTCAATTCAACACACACAGTGTGTGTTAAGCCCCTACTCAGGCCTAGGTCCCAGGCCGCTAAGGAGCTCACATTAAACACCGCTGACTCAATCTTCACAGGGTTGGTGGCTGGTGTGGAGAACAAATGGGGAAAGGGTTGAGAAAGGGTTATGGCAGCAGGTGAGAAGAATCAGCTTTCAATTAGCTGGGCCCCCCTGAAAGGGAGCAGCCAAGTGCCTTGGGTAAGTAAGGCTCTCTAGCTCTGCTCAAGACCCTGGAGAGCCAAAGTAGCAGCTGGTTACAGAGTGGCTTGATTGGCTTTGCAGGCCAGGCAAGTGGGGACCGCTAGAGCCTGCTCACTGAATGACCCACTGACAGCTGAATGGCAAATGCCCATCTCTTTCTTCTGTGGCACCTCTGGGGTGCCAGTGTGTGGTGACACTGCGTCTGGACTCTCCGTGGGCATCATTGTCCCAGTGCCAGGCTGGCTTCGGGGGAGCGACAGACTGACTAGGGTGGGAGAAGTTCCATTTTCAAGTCTGCCTTTGGCGATGACATGGGTCACCGGTCCAGTGGAGCAGCACTGGCCTTGGAATTAGGATCCTGCCTCTAAAAGCCATACTTTGTCTACTGTTCCTCAGGAAGGCCCTTTGTCTAGGACTCCAGTCAATTTTGAGACTCGCTAGGTGGCCAAGTCACTAACTTCTGTGAGTCTCAGTTTCCTCATTTATAAACTGGGAATAATTGTACTTACGTTACCTAATTCACAGGGTTGTTATAAGGAAATTAATATGTATTTATTAATCTATTTCTCCCCATAGTAAATTATAACTTCCTTGAAGTCAAGGACTTCTCATATTTTTGTATTCCTATAACCTAGGCCAGTCCCTTACACACTTTTCTGCGGTGGGGGGGGGTGGGGAGAGAGGAGAAGGGGGTTGGGGAGTCCAGAGCCATGTGAATTCATGTCCTGGTGCGGAAACTCCTTCCACTGGTGCATACCAGCAACAAATCTGTAACTTCAAGTTGCCTGGGACCCTTTGAGGGTAGATGACTGGTCCATGTGTTCACATACTTTGCATGTGTCTGTCAGAGGCAGGTTGGCCCCTTGATATGTTGATAAGTGCCTGTTGGACTGGCCAGAACCAAGGTACGCTAGAAGTGGGGCTCATTATCATCAGAGCAAGAGCTGTTCATGGCTCACCACCCCAAGCAGGTGCTGCCCCCCTCCCCAGTCTCTTCTCAGAGACAGCTGGTCCCTCTTCAGTTTGCTCTTTTGGCCTAGACCTAGGTTTGGCATGGTCAAATCAAATCAGAGAATTGAAGTCATTCTCCTGATCAGTCGGGAATAAAGAGCAGCTCTTGCCTTTGGGGATTTAGGCAACAGTCTGAGAGTTTCCTCTACAATACAGAGCGAGTTGCTTCCATTCTAGACTTTAGTGTGCCCTTTTCTATCAGGTGCCTGTGAATCACAGGGAAGGAAAAGAAATTTGTCTCTGTGATCCGATCTCTAGATTCCCCCAATGCCATGGCCCCTCCGCCACGTCAGCTCTCTCCCATGAGCTCAGGATTATACCTGATTATACAAAGTCGCTGTTCTTTGGCAAACCCTCCACCATTCCTAAACAGAATAAAGCCTCCCTCAGTGGAGGTGTTGAGACAGCTTTGCTAGCACATCAGAGAAGTCAGTGTGGACTTGGAGCCATCTGCCATGGACAAATAAGGATGGCAGACTCCAGAGAACCCAGAGGGGAGGGGCAGGCGGAGGCAGGCAATGCTGGCCTCTTTAGAGAAGTCTTTGAAGGGCCCTGGGCTTGAGCAGATTCAAAAGACTGTAGGCTTCTTGAGGGCAGGGACCACCAGGCTTTTTTGTGTTTGGATCCCCACTGTGGGAGGTACATAATCAATACTTAACGAATGCTTATTGAATGTTGAATTGAATACTGCATATTGACCCCAAAGACTAAGGTCTCTAGTAAAATAAGAGAGCCAGCTATGGGAGGGTGGGGATGGAGGGGTGGCACAAGGAAAAGCAAAGCAAGTGAGCAATGTGCAGAGGGCTCCCCCCTTCCCCCCCAGACTGTGGCTGGCCAACTGACTGTCTTATTTATCCTTCTGCCTTTGCCCAGAGAAGAGTTCTACAGTAGGACACGAAACCCACTAAGAAATGCTGAGGAAACCAGCTCACTGTGCGGCTTTGGGCAAGTCTCTTCTCTTCTCTGGACTCTTAGTTTCCTCATCCGTTAGATGAAGAGGTCAGTCTAGCTGGTCACTAAATTTATTTCTAGATCTGGATCTTTGCTACCTAATATCTGACCTTTGTTAGTGAATTCCAAGCTGGAATCAATCCATCGAGGGTCCTCAGTAGGCATCGAGTTCAAGCTGTTCCAGAACAACCGTCTACAGTCCAGCCAAACAGCCACCCAGCCTTTGCTAGAAAGCCCGGATAAAAGAGAGCCCATCCCATTTTGGGATGGATCTCATTGTGCCAAAAGTTTTCTTGACATCTTAGGCCCAAATGTGCCTCACGGCAGCATCTCCCTCTTCTTCGTGGTTCTGCTGTTTGGGGCCCAGCAGAATCCCTTTTCCCTATGACAACTCTTCAAGTATTTGACACCAGCTCTCAGCTCTTCCCTCCCCCTCTGCCCTCAGCTTGTTTCCCCCCTTCTTCTAATTGATCCTCATAGGTCCTCTACCAGCTTGGTTGCCATCCTCTGGACATTTTACAATTTATTATTGTTTTTCCTAAACTGCAGTACCTAGAAGTGAACCAAATCCTGCAGATGGGGTCTTATGAGAGTACCCCATAGGGGCAATCACCTCCTTCTTTCTGGAAGCTGGGCCTCTCTTCCTGGAGCCCAAGTTCTCATTGTCCGGGGACCATCCATACCTCTCCACTTTCCTCATCCTCATAACTTCCCTGTGAGGGCTGTGGGGCCAAGGATGATCACTTCACTTTTGCAGATGTGCAAAATGGGGTTCAGAGAAATGAAGGGTCACCACTAGCTAATAACCATTTATCAACTTCTTTACAGCTTCCAAAATCCTTGCCCATCCCAGAGTTCATTTGATCCTCTCAGCCACCCTTGAGTAATGCAGGGCAGGAATTATCCCCATTTGATAGATAAGGAAACTGAGGCTGAGTGGAGAAGTGACTTGCTTAAGGTCACACAGCTAGTTAGTTACAGTGCCAGAACTTGAACCCAGGTCTCTGTGCCATAATTAGCATAGTTTAGCCCATCACTAGGGCTTCTCCTAGACTCCATTGCTTTCTCCCCTAATGACCACCAAAACCTCTCTCCGTAAATAGGATGCCATCAATGGCTCCTAAAGTCAGCGGGTAGAATGGGGCAGGTTGGTTATAACTGCAATTGGTCAGCTTCTGATTCAGAATTTCTCCTAGGTTTACCAAGCAGGAAGCTAGAGAAGGATTGAGAACTTTACCAAGTGACAAATGTACTCTTCCAGGTTCCTAATCCCAGCAGGGGGCCAGGAAGGGGCCGTCCCCTCCCCCATCCTCTTGCAGCCTCTGACCTTGTCCCTAGACCCACATTTCTTTAGTTGTAGGTTGTGCCCAGTGTTGACCGGCCAAGCTTCCTGGACAGGAGGCTAAGCTAGCCTCAGTGGCCACCTCCAATCTCAGCACCTCCTCCTGAGGGTGAATAATGAGAGAAATCTGAGAAAGCAGGAGAGGGGAGGCAGAGGAAGGCATCCAGGGCAACGTGGCAGGGGCTGAATGTTCCCCTGCTGCCCCAAGTTGCCGTACCTAGCCACCCGCTTCTCCCCCAAGGTAGCCCTCACCTGTTTCTCACCACTGGGCTTCCGGTAGCTGAGCAGCAGCTCCACAGCCCCGACCACCTCCTTGCGGATGGCATAGAGCAAGGCATCGCCCACATACACGCTGTGGTTCAGCAGCAGCTCCATGATCTCCAGGTTCTCATTCTCTATGGCAATGAGCAGGGCGCTGCGGCCGAGGGGGTCCATGCAATTGATGTTGACATTGTAGTAGATTTCGGCCTCATGCAGAACCTGCTTCACACTGGCATAGTCACCCTTCTCCACGGCAGTGAGGAAGGCCTTTTCCTCTGCAGAGAGCTCAGCTTCTGCTCGTACAATCTGCAGTGGGATGCGGTCCCGGTAGGGCGAGTAGTTCACCTTTTTGTAGTAAAGTTGGGCCATGGTTCATAATGGCATAGAAACCTGGGTAGGGAGAGGAAGAGAGAACAGGCATGTGTCAAAGAGTCTCAGGGCCTCCAATGACCATGGGGGACAGGCACAGAGGGGAGGGAATATCTGTGGGCCAGCTGGTCATTGAAATCATACAAGATCACAGAGTTAGAGGTGAAAGGGACCTAGAAGGCCACCTGGGCCACTCCCCTCATTTTACAGAGAAGAAAACTGAGGACTTGCCCAGGGTCCAATAGAGAGTAAGTGGCAGAGGCAGGATTGGGTCCCAGGGCCTTTGATTCCGGGATCTTTTGACTGTAGCCAAGAGTCTCTCGATTGAAAAAATCTCAAACACATTTTCAGCACAGAATCTCTACCCAACCTTTCCATCCATGTAAAAATGAGTGAGGTGAGAAAGATAAGTAGCATCTTGTCATTGCAGCCCCCGGTTTCCTTTCCCTTAAATGAGGTAACCAAAGTGAGGGCATCAGTAAAGTAAGGGGCTCTGGCTTGATGGAGACCTAGTAAATGAACACGAGCAAACAAGGGAAAACCACTGGGCAGATCCCAGTCAAAGCCACTGAGCATTTAATGGTGCCAGCTTCAGTAATACAGGAAAGTTTTCCAGACTGTCTGCTGTGTTAATCCTTGTTCTGGTTCCTGGGGATCCAAGGACACTTTGGACGTAGCCCCTCCCAGTTACCCAAGCTCACAACCTTGGCGCTGTTCTTATCTGCTTGCTCTCCCACGCCCCCCAGATCCAATCAGCTTCTCCTTCCACACCGTGGTATTGCTCACATCTGACTCCTCTCTACTCACAGAGCCCAGATCATCCCAGATCAAGCCCTCAACACCTTTCATTAAAATGAACCATGGCCCAGCTTGACCAGAATCCCAGGAAGCCTTGTGTCTTCATCGAGGATTCAGTGGGGGAAATGAATTGTGAGGTTGTTGCAGTAACATCCAACAAGTTCAGCACTAAGCAAAGAGCAACCATTTACCGGCTGCCCTTGAAGTCCTGGGCCATCAGCCACCCTCCAAGAACCAGCCAACCAGCCCACCCGCCCTCTAGACCACAGAGCTCGGAGTTAGCCAGGTTCAATGGGCATTCGTTAGGTACTGACTCATTTCTGGCTTTGTCCCCTGGTGCCTAGGATGGAGCCTGTCACACAGTAGAGGCTTCAGTGTTTGTTGAATTGAATAGTTATTTTCTCAAAATGTGGCACCCAGAACTGCACACACTGCCACACACAGCCTCACCAGGACAGAGGACTCCTGGTTCACCTGTCTGACTGCTCCTTCTTGGTTCTCTCTGGCTTTCTCTGTATCTCTGTCTCGCTTACATGGACAGCCAGACAGATACCTTCCCCTCCCTCCTCGCCCGCTACCACGGTTTAACTATCATCTCTACGTATGTCATTCCCAGACCTATATATCCAGCCCCAATCTCTCCTCTGAGCTTTAGTCCCAGGTCACCGATTGCCTATTGGCTATTTCAAACTGAATGTCATGATCTCTTGAACTCAACATGCCTAAAACTAAACTCCTTTTCTTTCCCCCTAAGCTTCCCCTTCTTCTATGCTTCTCTCTTTCTGTTGAAGGTGCCGCCATCCTCCCAATATCCAAGGTTCATTATGAATACTCTCCCTCACCCACAAATACAATCTGTTGCCAATTTGACCTTCACAATGTCTCTTGCATCTGACCCCGTCTCTCTCCTCCCATAGCTCCCACCTTAGGTCAGGCCCTCACCTCCCCTCTTGCCTCAATTATTGCAGCAGCCTCCTAATTGGCTTTCCTGCCTTAAGTCTCTCCCTGCTCCAGCCCATGTACAATCACCAAAGTGATTTTTCCTTAAGCACGGATCTGACTGTGTGTCTCCTCTACAAAGACAACTCCAGTGGCCCAGTGTTGCCTTTATGATCCAAACTCCCAGGTTCCAATTTTAAAGCTTGACATGCCTGGCTCTGGCCCCATCCTTTCCACTTTATGTGGCTCTGTGTCAGCCACACTCCCTCTCGAACTACCTTGGACGTAACCACTTTGTATGTGTTCATATTTACTAGCTTCTCTTTATGCTGTATATCATTTTGATATCCACTGGTCTTCCTCAGAATGTAAACCTTTTGCAGACAGAAATAATTTCATTCTTTGTACTTGTTTCCCCAGTGTCTAACACAGTGCCTGACACATAGTAGGTGCTTAATAAGCACTTATCGATTAATTGAGGGACAATCCCCACCCTTATTTTTGAAGCTTTGGCTCCCTTAATGAAGCTCAGGGCCAAATTTCTTCTCCTGGGGACTTTCAGGGGCTACCCTTACCTTTACCCAAAGGCAGATGCATGGAAAAGTCAAGCCTGCTGATTATTGTTAAGCTTCCAGCCCACTCAAAGCCCCAGAGATTCTTTACAGGAGCTGCTACGTGGCCACACTTCCTCTAATCTATACTTGTATGGTTCAGATTTTATGGGCCTCAAACACAGGACTTTACATTCTCTCCTTAGGCTATACTTTAATACCTGAAATCCTACTATTAATAAGTCATAGCTCTGAGTAAAGATATTGTGGCTTCAGAAGGCCCCTGATAAAATGCAATGACAGATGAAGTCATCATGAGCCATCATGGAGTTCCCTGCCTTGAGGTGATTCCTGAGGATCCAAGGGCAGGGACACCTAGCAAGGATTAGAAGAGGGGCCATTGTCTGGGAAGGGTAGGGCTGTGGTAAGGGGACCTGAGATAGCCAGGCAGGCCTGGGAGAGGAGGAGGGTGTGTTACCAGTGGAGAAGGGAGATCTGGGGCCACTGAAGATGAGCTTCACTCCCCAACCTGAATGCCTTGGGGAAGAAGGCCAAATCTCCGGAGCCATGGGCTTCCTTCCAGTTTGCAACAAAGGCCCACGGTGCTGTGTTGACAAGCCAACCCGCCTGCTCATGGCCTGGGGTCCTGGTGGGAGGAGAGCAGCTGCTCCCCCTCAGACCAGTCAGCTTTGTTGGGTAGCCAGAGAGGCACCGGGAACTGTCTAATTAGGTGATTAAGATAATTGTTCTGCAATGGTCCTGCTGCACCAGATGGCCTCCCTTCTCTCAGTAACTCTGCCGCCAGAGCCTCCTGGTCTCTCACTGTCAGGAGCAGAACTCTCTCCATTTCTCTTTGTATATGAGTCTATGTGTGCGACTGTGTCTACAAGGCAGACATGGCCAAGGGGAATTCAGGTGAGGCAGCAGAATCTAGCTGGGGAGGGGTGAGGGTTGGCAACTTTTGTAAAGTGGTATGCCGAGATTCATTCATTCACTCACTCATTCACTCACTCACTCACTCCGTTCATTCATTCATTCATTCATTCATTCATTCATTCATACTCTTCCTTCATGAGGGTGACAATGACAAAGGGATGAATGGGGAAAGTGGTAGGGGTTGCCTGTAGGCGCCTTGTGAGCTCATTAGGCCAAAGGAGTTGGCACCTGGCCGGTCAGGTGTCCGTGGGGCGGGAGGACAAGGAGGGGCATTGGCCTTGCTCCTTCAGTCTGACTACTTGTTTGCTACTCTACCCATTGACATTCATGTTTAGCGTAGGCCCTTCCCCACCAGCTTTTTTACCTTGGTCTCTGCTATTGTGATGCTGGCCTGGGCCATGCTCACCTGGTATCTGTGACCTCCCTAGGAAGCCCTTGTCCTGATCAGCCAGAATATCAGTGCAGAGATCTACCCAATTGCAAAGGCATTATTTATTAAGCCCCTATATGGGTACAGTACCCTGCTAAACACTGGGGCTACAAAGACAATAAGTAAACAGTCTCTGCCCTCAAGGGACTTATACTCTACTGGGGAGAGGAACAACAAGATATTTCCACCATCTTTCCAATAGAGAGAGTGAGTTTGGGCCTTGTTCTGTCCCTCCCTAGGCCGCTCTGTCTTTGGACAAGCTTGTGAGGTGAAGGCCTTTGAACAGATGCCAGAGAAAGCTTCCTAATGGATCCCTAGGGCACTTTGCTCCTCTATGCCAAAGCCTCTGGCCTTCGGTGTGGCTCTACCCTGCCTCTGCTTGTCCTGGAGTACCAGGTGCTCCAGACAAACTGGACTCATGGCCCATCTCTGGGCCATTGCCATGTCCTTCCTTCCATCTCTTTCCTTCTAGCTCTCGTGTTTTACAGGGGAGGAAACTGAGGCCTAGGGAAGGGAAATGACTTCCTCGACATAGTTATCTGTTGACTTGTCTACCTCCCCTCTGCTCCCCAAATTCCTTGTGTCAGAAATAATGGCTGCCCATCTCTGTAGGGCCTTCAAGGCGTGTAAAGCACTTTGCATACATTCTCCCATTTGATCCTCGGAACAATCCTGTGAGGTAGGTATTTTTATTATCCCCATTATACAGATGGGGAAACTAAGGCTCAGAGAAATGAAACAATCTGCTTGTGGTCACACGGCTAGGAAGTATCACCTGAAACACTGGCCCATGTCTCCTCGACTCTAAGTTGGGCATTAGGCACTGGTCATACTAGAGAGCGATACCTTAACAAGGCCAAGGTACACTGTCAGCTTTTTGGAAGGCTGGCATCACAGGGCTCCTGATTGTGCTCAGCATCTGAAGCTTCGGGTGAGGCAGGAGCAGCCCAGCAGATAGCTTAATGGGCACAGACTGGCTGCTTGAAAAGGCAGAGCAAGAACAGTAGTGGGTGAAAGTCCACTCTCGCAGAGGCAAGGCCCCACCAACACAGAGGAAAGTAGCTGGCTCCACTCCTTTACTGCCAAGCCCCAGCCCTCCGAGATGATTAAGAATGACTCACCAGGCCGGCCCAGAGGGTCGGACTGATTCTCTCCCCTCCTTGTTGCTGGCCAGAGGAGTTTGTCAAACTTGGTCTGTGACATTTGCGGGTTGAAATGATGTGATTCAAAGAGACAGATCGATGGGCTGGGAAGATTGCCAGAGATGAGGCGGCTGAGCCAACTCTCAGCGTTGGCATTTTCCAGAGGGCCATCTTCACAGCTCAGAAAAGCAGGGAATTGCCAGG